AAGTCTACGCCAATCATGCCATGTTGGACGACCGACATCCATGTCATCGATTTTGGATCAAAATTAGCCGGAAAGATTAAATTAGCAAATCGCCGAAAGGTTTAGGACTAAATTGGCCAAATTGAAAGGTTTATGAATAAATTGTATGCGGTTAAGGGTGAGCGGTTCCAGGTTCCACATGAAACCTGGAACCTACCCTCGGGTACATGTTCCTCATTTTTTAGAACTTGGAATCTACCCATCAAAATCTAAAACCTAGAACCTACCCTGTCATGGGTTCTAGGTACTAACAGGTTCTTTTTTTTTTAATTTCATTTTTAGTTAAACAAAACGAAAATGAACACAACAATACTGAACAAGCTTATCATTCACCAAAGAGAATACAAAAGACTAGTTTTCCTGAGATTATGGTTCAAATAAATATAATTAAAATGAAAAGTCATTGCGTAAATCAATACTAGGGGTGAGCGGTTTCATGTTCTATATAGGTTCCACCCATGATAATAGGTTCCTCATTTTTTGGAACTTGGAACCTACCCTATCACAAGTTTGAGGGTCGGTTTTAGGGTCTACCCAGATTCCACATGTATTATTAATTAAACTATTGCAGTGAATCATCACCTTTAATGACCACAATTTGCTGCTATGAGCTATTAACCACAACTTATATTTAGATACATGAAGAATATGAAACATTAACAAGTCAAAAATGAAAGCTCAGACTAATAGTTCCAGGTTATATACTTATCATCTAACGTCATGAAGCACCGCAATATCATGTGAAGATATAAACCAAGAAAAAACAAAAAAAACTTATTTAGGTTTCAAGTTTCAGATTCCACTTACCTAGAACCCGGAACCTATATGTCGAAACAGGTTTCCTAATTTTTGGAACTTGAAACCTATCTTACATACTTTGAAACCTGAAACTACAGGTTTCCACTGATCAGGTTCTCAGGTACCAGGTTCTATCCTGGAACCATGCTCACCACTATGCCGTATAATAAGTTTGAAACTTTTTGAACAATTTTCCTTCTTGGGAGCATCTTGAGAAAGATTAGGAATTCATAAAATGCCAAACTTGACTACGGAATTCAAACAATAATAATGCAAAAAAAAAAAAAACGAAAACGAAATCTTTGAACTAGGGGTACTCGATTCTACGGTGGGTCGGTTCCCAATCCGAAGTAGGGAATCGGACTAGAATAACCGGTTTCGAGTTTGTGGAACCGTGAACCACCCAGTTGACGTGGACCCACCCGAGAACTAGAAACGACCAGTCTGGTCTGATTTTTGGGTGGGTCTAGGAATTGGTGGTATACTCCCCTTTTTTGTTTCTATTTCTAGTAAGACCGCAAGTGTTATTACATAGTGTAAACTACTACATAAGTGATATCAATAGAACAAGTTCGAGATAAACTAAATATGATGATCATCTCCACTAACAAAGATATAATGTTCATCAAGTGTGTGTGAGTTTGCAACGAAGTTAGACAATCATACCAATCATTAATAAGAGTTTGGCTCGAAATTCTCAAGCTTCACTTCAAATTAGGAATGGGGTAATTAGGGTTTTCGGAGTGGGGCAAGTAAAGATGAAGAATGAGGAGGATTTATAGTTTTGTAATAACAAGATTAAAAAGAAAAAAGTCGATCCGATCCGGGTGCTTCGAGTGGGTGGTGCATACATGGAACTAAGAATCGGATCTATATTCACCGGTTCCAAAATTTAAGAATTGGTAATCATGGAAACCGTCCAGAACCGACAGGTTCAATTCGATCCGAGTGATTTCCTGTTCGATCCGATTCTTTTGCTCACCCCTACTTTTGGCATGACGCTCTTACACTGGTGCTCCCACGATTCAAGGCTAATTACCGTTATTTATAAATACTCGATCTTCTTGCTTCACTAAATTACCGTCGTTAACTGCAAAGACCGCATGCCCACGTGGGCCACAATCGTACACCTCATATGCAACCTCTTCCGATTCGTCAATTAATCCCTCACTCGCGGGGGGAGCCTAATTATCATCGGTGCAGCCAATCCAGGTCCGACCCAGCCGCTGGCGAGGAAGAGTGCGGGACCCTGACGTCGCGGGAGCACAGGATCCCGCCGGCCCTGACCTGCCCGGCCGCGCCCCGCAAGCCGAGGGCGAGGCCGACGCCGGCGGTCGTCCCATGCAAACGAGCCTCGGTGTCGGAGGATCGTCGGCTCGAGTTCTTCGAGGTCGCAAGCCGCAGGGAGGTCGAGCGCTTCTTCAGGAGCTGCGGCGACGCGGCCGCCTCCAACGCGGCCAAGCGGAGGCGTTTCTTCTGCAAATGAGACAAGCGCTGGTCGGATGGAGAATTGTTCTCTCCTCCTCCTCCTCTTCTTCTTCTTCTATATATTATTTTTTTTTTATCTTTTGAAATTCTGTTTTTTTTTGTTGAATATAGAAATATTCTTTTGTGTGCTGATGATGCACGTGAAATGTTTACTCGCAATTACTGAGGGTGAATTGAATTTTACTTGAACATGGAGAGAAATCTTCTTTATTAATTTCTCCGTAATTAAGTTTCGAGATTTACTTAGAGAGTTTGCGAACATCGCAACCTTCCCTAACCGAACCGGCTAGGTGATCATCGAACCGGCCGGCCCCGGCCTCCAAGTGAGTTATTCGTGAATTTTCTCATCTCTGTATCCGGGTTCGAAGCGAGATAGATAATGCCTCGACTTAGGAAGTATAAAAGTACACATATTTTGTGAATTTCATAGACCATCATATATATATTTAATTATTGAATTTAGCATATTTAGTACCAAAATCGAGCAATGCTCGCATCAACTAGGTGCCCACGAGTCCAGTCAATTGCAACCATCGAAATTATTTAGATCTCATCTCACGTGAATTCCACATGAATCAACGGCCGAGATGCATTGGGCCCCATAAGCGCATCGGGAATTATTCTAGAATTTCGTGGGTCGCTCCCGCCGATACCCCTTATTTCGCCATTTGGTTCGCTTTTTGGGTTGAGAGGGACCCATGGGCTTCTAAAAAAGTGGACAAGATGTGGAGATCACCCACCGTCCAAAAAACAGCATATAGTGAAATCCCATGTTCATAAAAAAAAAAAAATTTTAAAAAAAGGAACTTTACACCCTTATAATATTTAATTATTGAATTATTTCCCTAATTAATCTCATGTAGGGTACGTATACGCCGGCGCCTTGTTACCAAAAGTGCTAAAGTTGAGGCAAAAAGGAAAGAACCCACAAAAATCAGAACTACAGAGGCACATTAGAAAATTATGCACCTAATTATTGTACATCTCATAACCATCGAGTGGGACCAAACTTATTAGACGCATAATTCCGACGGTCGATGGGTCCGATCAAGGAGACGGATCATGTGCACGATAGTATGATCTATTGTATATGACGGGGGTTAAAGAAGGTGTGTGTGGGCACGAGCGGACCTAAGGGGGGTCGGTGGTGGCACCCTCCCCGCCTAGGTTCAAAAATATGTGTACATATATGTAATTTATTGAAAATATGTGTCTCGACCCCCAAGTTGGAGTTCTTGGCCCGTCATTTTGGGTGGGCTCGAGTCATCTCGTGACCACGGGTTCGTCTCACACATATGAGTAACTAATTTACTTTCGGTAATAATCACGTGTTATGCTCTCGAGAGTCTAAACTGGTGTATGTAAATATTTGAAGAAAAAAGAAGAAGAAGAAGCGCTTTGACGTCGAATATATAATTCAATGGACCGGAACGGTATACGGGTCGTTTGAACCGTCCGGTTCGAGTAGATGGGAAAGGCCTCAAACAATTCGAGTCATTGGTGTGCAATGCCATTGGATCAGGAGGAGCGAAAAGGGATGTGATAGTTGATTAGGCGACATCCCATGAGTTTGCAACACACAGCTAGATGGGTTGGGACAAGCCCATCCGAAAAATCCTTTGCCCATTCTTGCTTTATCATTTCGAAAAAAAAAAAAAAACCTTAAATCCTCTGGCAGAAAAACTCGGTCGGGACTACGACGTACGAAGAATTTCTCGCTTAGACCGAGCCATTCTAAAAGAAATTCATCGGGCCTATCCCGCACGGACGACGGGCGGTCGATGGTTGGACAATGATCAGTTCTAATTTAAGTGTCTTTTTAGGTATAGGCTAAGAAAGTAGTGTCACGAATGAATATGTTTGGCGTGTAATTATATTAATGGCATGTTTAGCGTGCAATAGTAGTATAAGATAATCCTTTTATTAAACAAGTGAGATTGGAGATTATACAAATGCCTGCCTTACTTAACTCATAACAATATATTAATTCATGGAGCGAGAGAAAAGAGAACGCGTGGAGGAAATTGATAGGCCCAATTTTTTTTTTCTCAAGGGAAAGAGGGCGACTGGTCAAATTGATAGGCATCTCTGTCAGCGATTTCCGGAAAAAAATTGTCTCGAAAGATTCAATTGGCAAATTGCCAAAAAGTTCATGACTAAATTGGCATAAATACAATAGATTTAGGACTTTTTTGTTAAATTTCCTTAGGCAACACGTTAGTAAGAAAGTAATATCTTGGTTTACGATTGATTAATCAAGTTAAGCCAGACAAACGAAATTACATTTACAGCCATTATATCTTACTTAAATCAAGTTCAGCTAATGTTTTCTTGGGTCGGAAAGTTCAGCTGGTTTTTCTTTTCTGGTTGAAAGTTCAGCCAATTGGCTCGTCGGATTCGGGAGACGTGCGAGGTCGGGAGTTTAGACTTTTTAGATACAAGGATAGGCCACCTAAGCAGTGTAAAAATATCAATACGAGCTTGTTTGACACGTACGTGCGACCAAATTTCATTGGTCAGAATTCACAATGCCCCACAAATCTAAGGATAGTTTACACATGGCCCACACGTCGAAACTTTCTTTCTTGTTGGGCAAGTAGGACAACTTGTTGGGCAAGCGGCAGCCATAAACGAACGCCAGCGACGCAGACGTGCTGGCCTTTATATATGAGCCACTTCACTCGCAATTGCACTCGCGCAAAAAGAGAGAGAGAGAGAGATGGCATTAACAGAGAAGCAAGAGGTACTGGTGAAGGAGTCATGGGGGATACTGAAGCAAAACGTTCCTGAGTACAGCATTCGCTTGTTCTTGCGGTGAGTTCAGAGATGGAGACAGAGAGAGAGAGAGTGAGAGCGCTATCGATTTCTTGCTGATGTATGATTGTGTTTGTGTGTATACGTTCGCTAAGTTTAAATGTGTCGGATTTTGTGGGATTGCACCCAATTGTTCTGAAAGCTTAAATTGTTAGATGAAATAGTGATTCAATATTTAAGTATTCTAGCGAAATGGTTCGTCTGCTGATGCATGAAAATGATGTGTGTAAAAGGATAATGGAGGTCGCCCCGCAAGCCAAGAACATGTTCTCCTTCCTCAGAGATTCGGACGAGATCCCCCAGAACAACCCCAAGCTCCAAGCTCATGCCATGAAGGTCTTCAAGTTGGTGAGTCTCTCTCAAACACATCATGCGTATGACATAATTATCTACAAACCCTTGTTTTCGGCTTTCGCTAATTAATCTCTCCCTGCCTCCATCCGTTCTTCCCTTTCCACGGTGATTTCGCTTATACTGTCTTGTCGTGCTTAAACAGACGTGCGAATCGGTCGTCCAACTCCGTGAGTGTGGCGCGATTGCAATCGCGGGTTCGGCTATGAAGCACTTGGGCTCCGTTCATCTCAGGATTGGAGTCACCGGTCGCGACTTCGATGTCCGTAACAGATGCCTCGCTCCTCTTTCTCAGATTAAATTTGCATGTTGTTGTGCTTATACCTCCATTAATCATCATCATCACGTAGATTGCTGTTGCTGAACTCACTGATCTGTGAACCAGGTGGTGAGAGATGCGCTGCTGAGGACGATCGAAGAGGCAGTGGGAGAGAAGTGGAGTGAAGAGATGGAGGGTGCATGGGGCGAAGGCTATGACCAGTTGGCTGCAGCCATCCAAGCAGAAATGAAGGACGATGCAGCCCCGACCGCTAATTAACCATTCGGATTTTTATTAGGTTTACTGCCGGTCCGAGGTATATGATCTTGTTTAATGTATGGAGAGTGTGCGTGCTTGTGATAGGGTAATTTTGTTATGGTTTTTTGTATCACGCTCTTGTGACATATGAAATAATTGGGTTAGTCACCCGTGTGTCGAGAATTATAGTGAGATCATCTCTCTTATCTCCAGTGTTATGCTTGCTCGGGTGGACTGCTTTAAGTTTTACTAGGATGAGTTCGATTCATATCAAAGTGAATCCGAACCCCAAACTTTGCCATCTGTGACACATTTACTCCGAACTTTTTTTTGTGACACCAAAAACCCCGAACTTTGCTTTTTGTGACACATTTACCCCAATGTATTTAGTCCATGGGCATTTTCGTCTTTTCTGCTTTTTCTTTTTTTTTTTCTTTTTTTTTTCCTTTCCGGCGAGGCCCGCCTCGCCGGATCCGGCGAGGGGGCCCTCGCCGGCGTCGAGCGAGGGCGGCCCTCGCCGAGATCCGGCGAGGGCGGCCCTCGCCGGCGTCGGGCGGCCTCGCCCTCGCCTGGGCGAGCGAGGGCGGCCCTCGCCCGGCTCGGGCGAGGTCGACCCTCGCCCGACGCCGACGAGGGTCGACCTCGCTCGAGTCGGGTGAGGGCGGCCCTCGCTCGCCCGGCGGCGACCCTCGCCGGCGTCGGGCGAGGTTCGCCCTCGCACGGGCGAGCGAGGGCCGCCCTCACCCGACTCGAGCGAGGTCGACCCTCGTCGGCGTCGGGCGAGGGTCGACCTCGCCCGAGTCGGACGAGGGCCTCCCGCGCGGATCCGGCGAGGGCCGCCCTCGCTCGACGCCGGCGAGGGTCGACCTCGCCAGATCGGGCGAGGACCGCCTCGCTCGCCCGGGCGAGGCGGACCTCGCCCGACGCCGGCGAGGTCGCCCTCGCACGGGCGAGCGAGGGCGGCCCTCGCCCGGCTCAGCGAGGTCGACCTCGCCCGACGCCGGCGAGGGTCGACCTCGCGCAGATCGGGCGAGGGCCGCCTCGCTCGCCCAGCGAGGGCGACCCTCGCCGGCGTCGGGCGAGGTCCGCCTCACGGGCGAGCGAGGGCGTCCCTCGCCCGACTCGGGCGAGGTCGACCCTCGCCCGACGCCGGCGAGGGTCGACCTCGCCTCGAGTCGGGCGAGGACGCCCTCGCTCGCCCGTGCGAGGGCGAACCTCGCCCGACGCCGGCGAGGGCCGCCCTCACTCGACGCCGGCGAGGGCCCCCTCGCCGGATCCGGCGAGGCCGACGCCGGCGAGGCCCCTCGCCGGAAAGGAAAAAAAAAAAAAAAAAAAAAAATAAAAAGCAGTAAAAGAACAAAATGCCCAAGGACGAAATACATTGGGGTAAATGTGTCACAAAAAGCAAAGTTCGGGGTTTTTGGTGTCACAAAAAAAAGTTCGGGGTAAATGTGTCACAGATGGCAAAGTTTGGGGTTTTTGGTGGTTTTTTCCCTTCATATTATAATCCTGCCGGAAACAATTGATTACGTTCGTCGCGTGCACCCACCACGCTCGCAAGCCATGCTAGTCATTTCATCAATGCAAAGAGGAGGGGTCGTGTAGCCACTTTGACTTTTAATTTGATTAAATTCAGTATTAATCATGAATCACCTGTAAAATTGTTTTGTTTATTCCGTCTCTTCGCCCGCTAGGGAACCCTCGACCAAAAAAGTAATTAAGTTCTAGACGTGAGTTTCCTTCGACATGTAAGTCAGTTATCAAATCTTTGCCGGTTTAAATATACAAGCCACTTTCATTTAATAAGAGTTTATACTTGATTAATGCGACGAATAATGAAGGTGATCAATCAACATGTAACTAAGCAAAGAAACGTCACCAATAGATATGCGGTCCTGCTAGTAAAGGGATTGGGGGGACGCTAGTATCGAGTAAAGAAAAAGTTAGAGAGTTGAGTTATTGATATAATAAACAAAAAAAAAAACAAAGAAACGTCAATCTATCCTCACCTTTTCTAGACATGAAAATTTCCCAAACTCTTGCCCTAGAAAACTCTATTCTCACAGTCTCTCGTAATCTTTGAATATTTCATTTTTCAAGACACTTTACTTGGTTATCGGGTACGGCGATGTCGAGATATTTTGGGGAAAGCACGAAGAGCTAATTAATATGAAAAGATTTCAGGCATGATATAGATTATTTAAACTATTTTATGTAAATATTTGCAATTGAATGATCCCTTCACTTATTGGGGAGAGGAAAATTGTCCAAGAAGTCTTAAACTTATTGTATGGCGGTCAATTTAGTTATAAACCTTTCAATTCGCCAATTTAATCCTAAACTTTTGATGATTTATCAATTTAGTCATTCCGGTCAATTTTGATCAGAAATTGATGACGTGGACACCGAATATCATACGTGGCACGGCTAGCATTGAACATGGACAATTTTTGCAATTTTACTGAATTTTTATAAATTTTCTAATAGTTTTCTTTTCTTTCATTTTTTTTTTACTGTTCTTCTTCCCCAAAGGGCCGGTGGGGTTGCTGAGGCCTTGGCGATGGTTGTCGCGACCTTTGCCTCTATGCACGACAAGGGTCGTTGCAGCCTTTGCCTTTGTGTGAGGCGAGGGTTGCCTTTGGGAATGAAGAGACCGTTGTGGCCTTCACCTTTGTGTGCAGTGAGGGCCATTGCGACCTTCGCCTTTGTGTGTGGTGAGGGCCGTGATAGCCCTCGCCTCACATAGAGGCGAAGGTCATTGTGCCCTCGCCCATGATTGGGGAGGGTGTCGTGGCTCTTGCCTTTGGCCGGCAACCCTTGCCGACCCTTCAAGGAAGAAGAAATGTAAAAAAAATATAGAATTATTTTTAAAAATTGCAAAAATTGTTCAAGTCTACGTCAATCGTGCCATGTTGGACAACCGGCATCCATGTCATCGATTTTGGATCAAAATTAGCCGGAAAGATTAAATTAGCAAATCGCAAAAAGGTTTAGGACTAAATTGGCCAAATTGAAAAGTTTATGAATAACTTATATGCCGTTAAAGATAAACGGCTCTAGGTTCATTACAGGTTTCACATAGAATCTGGAACCTATCCTCGGTTACATGTTTCTCATTTTTTAGAATTTGGAACCTACTCGTCGAAACCTGAAACCTGAAACCTAGAACCTATCCTGTCACAGTTTCCAAGATAGGTTCTAGGGTCTAACACGTTCTTTTTTTATTTTATTTCATTTTTAATTAAACAAAATGAAAATAAATGCAATAATACTGAACAAGCTTATCATTCACCAAAGAGAATACAAAAGACTAGCTTTCCTGACATTATAGTTCAAATAAATATAATTAAAATAAAAAATCATTGCTTGAATCGATATTAGGGGTGAGCAGTTCCATGTTTTGTATAGGTTCCACCCATGATAATAGATTCCTCATTTTTTGGAACTCGGAACCTACCCTATCACAAGTTTGAGGGTCGGTTTCAGAGTCTGCCCAGATTCAACATGTATTATTAATCAATTCATTGCAGTGAATTATCACCTTTAATGACCATCATTTGATGCTATGATCTACTAACCACAACTTATATTTAGATACACGAAGAATATGAAACATTAACATGTCATAAAATGAAAACTCAGACTAGTGGTTCCAGATTATATACTAATCATCTAACGCCATGAAAAACCACAAGATGACGTGAAGATATAAACCAAGAAAAAACACAAAAAACTTGTTTAGGTTTCAAGTTTTAGATTTCAGATTTCAGGTTCCATCTACCTAAAACCTGGAATCTACCTATCGAAATAGGTTCCACCTACCAAAAAACTTGTTTGGAACCTAGAACCTACCCTGCATACTTTGGAACCTGAAACTATAGGTTCTCAAATTCTAGGTTCTACCTTGGAACCATGCTCACCCCTATACCGTACAATAAGTTTAAGACTTTTTGAACAATTTTTCTTCTTGGGAGCATCTCGAGAAAGATTAGGAATTCATAAAATGCCAAACTTGACTACAGAATTCATTTAATAATAATGGAAAAAAAAAACGAAAACGAAATCTTTGAACTAGGGGTACTTGGTTCTACGGTGGGTCGGTTCCCAACCTGAAGCAGGGAATCGAACTAGAATGACCGGTTTCGAGTTTGTGGAACCGTGAACCACCCAATCGACGTGGACCCACTCGAAAATTAGAACGACCAGTCCGGTCTGATTTCTGGGTGGGTCTAGGAATTGGTGGTATACTCTCCCCCCCCCCCCCCCCCCTCGAAAATTAGAACGACCAGTCCGGTCGATTTGCGGGTGGGTATAGGAATTGGTGGTATACTCCCCCCCCCCCCCCCCCCTTTTTTTTCTATTTCCAGTAAGACCGCAAGTGTTGTTATATAGTGTAAACTTCTACATAAGTGATATCAATAGAACAAGTTCGAGATAAGCTAAATATGATGATGATCTCCACAAACAAAGATATAATGTTCATCAAGTGTGTGTGAGTTTGCAACGAAGTTAGACAATCGTGACAATCATTAATAAGAGTTTTCCTCGAAATTCTCGAGCTTCACTTCAAATTAGGAATGGGGCAATTAGGGTTTTCGGGCGTGGGAGAGTAAAGATGAAGAATGAGGAGGGTTTATAGTTTTGTAATAACAAGATTAAAAAGAAAAAAGTCGATCCAGTCCAGGTGCTCCGAGTGAGCGGTGCACATATGGAACTAGAAATCGTATCCACATTCACCGGTTCCAAATTTTAAAAACCGGTAACTATGGAAACCGCCCAGAACCGACAGGTTCAATTCGATCCGAGTGATTCTCGGTTCGGTCTAATTGTTTTGCTCACCCCTATTTTGGGCATGACGTTCTGACACTTGTGCTCCCAAGATTCAAGGCTAATTACCGTTATTTATAAATACCCGATCTTCTTGCTTCACTAAATTACCGTCGTTAACTGCAAAGACCGCATGCCCACGTGGGCCACAATCGTACACCTCATATGCAACCTCTTCCGATTCGTCAATTAATCCCTCACTCGCGGGGGAGCCCAATTATCATCGGTGCAGCCAATCCAGGGCTGACACGTCTCAATTATTGCACACCCTTAAATCCGAAACGCTTTGTAGTTCTCGCCGCGTCCGACAAACGAAACGCCAGTGCACCAGTTGAACTTCGGGGGAGTTTCGTTACGATGTTTCGTCCCCACTCGTGGCTGTTTT